AGTTATTCAACATTTAGCTTAGACATATAGTAAGCTAATTACATATACTTATGTCACTCTTTTATTGACCACTGATCCTGGGATTGGTGTGGCTCTGTAAGTCAGGTTCTCATTCTTGCCCTTCTGCTTCACAGCAGTCTTCTTTCCTGACTGCCTGGTTTGGGGCCCATAGTTAGGTTCTCTGGGCCAGCTGCAGATGTGTTATATAAAGAGAACATGCATTGGTGGCAGTATGGAGGTGAGAGTAGGGGTACAAACAGAGGAGAGCCTGGAGGTGTGAGGCTAAGGAGACATTCTGAAAAAGAGTGATCACGGACTACAATGCAGGAAGACATTGATCAGATATGTCCTAAAAGGTCCCAAAAAAGAGAACTAGGATCCACTGATGAAAACTGCAATCTGACAGAGCTGCCTAAAGATGCAACAGAGCACCTTGATTTGTCATTGTAGTTTTTTAGACAAACTAGATAGCCATTTGGCAGTGAGAAATTTAAAAGGTTTATTAGTTATCTACTGCTACATAATAAATTATCCCAAAATGTGGAGGTTTAATACAACAAACATTTACTATCTTGCAGCTTCTGTGGGTCAGAAATTCATGAGTGGCTTTACTGGGTGGTTCTTTCAAAGGAAACTTAATGAGATCTCAGTCAAGATATTGCCTAGGAGGAACACTGTCAACCGAAGGTTCACTCAGCTCTCTGCGGCTGTTGGTAGGAATACCCAGTTCATCAGGAGCTGGCTGTTGAAAAGAGGGAGCAGTTTTTTCCTCTCCGTAGTGGGCCTCTCTGTAGTGCTGCTTGAGTGTCCTCACAACATGGCAGTTCGTCTTGCCCAGAGTGAGTGATCAACACAGAGAGTAAGGAGGAAGGCACAATGCCTTTTTTTATCTAGTCTCAGAAGTCATATATTGTCACTTCTGCCATATTCCTATCCGTTGGAAGCAAGTATCTAATGTTTTACCCACAGTCAAGAGAAGGGGAATTAAGCTCCCTTCTTGAAGGGAGGAGTATGAAACAATTTATGAACAAACCACCTGTAACAAGGTCACATGAGGGGACTCAGGAAGTTCCTTCATACCTGAGATTCTCCAACTCTAGTCATCAATCAGTAAACAAAAGACAAACCTTGAAAGTGTTCTGTACTTGACTCACATGATCCTGGAAGCAACCCACTGGGGCTCTGGTAATGGATGTATTTGTCAAGAGGAGAGGCTCAGTAATGGCTTCCTGGAAACTCCATCAAGTGGCAATGGGATTTAACTGAAACTGCTTTTGTGGTGTAATGGGAACATTATTTATAATTTTGAGAAAAGAAAGTAGACACAGAAAAAGCTACAGTAGGAGACTGTCTTGATTATACTATTCTTGGGACAAAAAAGTGATTGAACAATATATGGCAGTTTTTTTTTAATTTTGGAAATTGTTTTGTTTTATTTGGAAGTGTAGGAAAGGAAGATTTCTGAGCTTTCCTGGTTACTAGATATTACAGAGCATTAAAGAGCCATGAGTTTATGAAGTTATACTTTCATGACGTATAAAAAAGTAATAAATAGGAAGTTATGGTCCAAACATGAAGCAAATTAAGTCATGGCCTGATTTGGAGCAATTGGTAGAGTACAGCACAGGAGAATCCACTTGATGTCGATGTTTGAAACAGTCTCCTTCTACAGGCAGATGTTTATGACAAACACTTCTCTTCTTTATGAGTGGAATCTTCCACTACTGGGATATGTGGTTAGTAATATTTACATTACGATCTTCATACTGTCAATGCTGGTTATTGTCACTATTTGGAACTAACCTCTAATCAAAGCATAGAGACAAGCACAGCTATAGGACAGAATGTAAATGCTAATAGCCATAATAACAATAATGGTATGGTTGACAGGGGTTGAGGTGAGGTATGGGAATAAGGAAGGAAGAGAAAAGAAGAAAAGTGAATGCTATGGGGCTTGAATGTTTGTCCCCTCCAAAACTCAGGCTGAAACTTAATCTTCAATGTGGCAGTATTGAAAGGTAGGGCCTTAAGAAGTGAGTGGGTCAATTAATACATGCATGGATTAATGTTAATGTATCAGTGGGCAATCTTGGTAGTGGAGCTATGGTTTTATTAAGAAGAGGAAGAGACGCCTGAGCTAGCACACTCAGCCCCCTCACCATGTAATGCTCTGCACACCCCCTTGGGACTTTGCAAAGAGTCCCCACTAGCAAAAAGGCTCTCCCCAGACATGGCCCCTCAACTCTGGACTTCTTGGCCTCCGCTACTCTGAGAAATAAATTCCTTTTCTTTATAAATTACCCAGTTACAGGTATTCTGTTACAAGCAACTTAAAACAGACTAAGACAGTTCATGAAATTTCCTCAACTTACACAGTTGAATGGGTGAGGAATGGTTGACAGAGATTATATAAAGTTGATGAATCAAGAAACAGTGCATTAAAATTGCAATAAAATTAAAAATATTATTTCAAGTTAGAGTAGAACTTTAGCAAAAATCAAGAGGGAGGAGGAGTGAGATATTGTGTGAGCTACGTTTTTTTATTTTTTCACAGCAAGGAGTCACAAGTTACTGACTAATCAAGAAACAGATGCATGAGCACATTCTACAGAGTGAGGGTGTTTCCCACGTGAATAATCAGAACCAGAGATCAGTGGCTCTAAGAATGGAGTATAAGAGGTAACTTTCACATCTTGTTTCCTATTCTTCTGTAACATTTGAATATGTCATCTTACCATATATTTAACATCCATAACTTTTCAAAAGCAACAAATAAAAAATCCATGTAGTTAGTAGCATCTGTAAGTTGATGCTGGCTTATGTTTACCGGGTTTTAGTAGATGAATTTCAAGACTATTGATCCCTCGAATTAACTTTAACAAATAGCAAGATTTCACTAATTTCATAAATTGGCACTTTATACTTAATGCTTCTTCTTGAGATAAAGAGTAGGAATCAGTTTAAAATCACTACCTTGGTAATAAAAGCTATTTAACATGAGCTAAAATTCTATGGTTTATCCTTAAATATGCATTTTTCTACTGCCAAAAATGAAAGGACAACCAAAAACACCTTACAATTCTCAGGATTAACTCAAATGGGCAAGAGTCAAGGCTCAGTAAAATACTGTGAGACACTCCATGAAGCAGTTTTAATAACTCCTTCCACCCCCATCCAAATACTAAGGATTATTCCTCTGAGTTTTTATGGAAGGCCAGGTATAGCCTTTGCATATGTTTAAAACCAACTCCCTGCTATCTAACGGTGGAAGAATATTCAAAGGATTCATCAATGAATAAGATATCAAAGAAGCAAACTACTACTTGTCTTGGTTTAACAAAAGAGGGCTATTTAAAAAAAAAAAAAAATCTCCTTGGAGCAACATAGGTACCAGGAACAGTGGGCAGAAAGAGAGAGACTATGGCAAGAAAAACAACAAGGTTGATATTTAGAGTCCAGGTATTGAAAAGGCCTTTTATATAAAGGTGCACTTTTTTTCTTTGAGGAATAAACAAAGAGATTTTATGAAAATGTTTTGGGCTTATTTAAAAAAAGTACTTTTTATACATACAAGAAACACTCAGTCCTCTATTTTATAGACTCATAGAAAGAACCTCAGGGTATTAAGGGACTTATATCACAGCAATTGACAACAATCATACAATATAGATCAGGCACCATCCACATTTTCTAAAAGGAGTTTATAGAAAGGGTTCAACTATTACAGTCTCTGTGGATGACCTATAGTGCTTGTATAAAAAAAAATATATAGAAGAATGGAGTAATACACTGCACTGTATTCATACAATAGAATACAATACAGCAATGAAAACACACGAACTCCTGCCACACGTAACATGGATTAATCTAACAGGCTTAATGTTGGCTGAAGACTTGGCAAAAATAGTACATATTCTATGATTCTATTTATATAATAATATAATTTATAATAATGTTATTATATGTATAATAACATATTCTATGATTCTATTTATATAAAATTAACCATGGTGTTAGAAGTCAGCATACTGGTTAACTTTGGAGGGGGCAGAGACTAGGAGGGGTCGCAAGGGGCTCTGGGGGTTGTGGTAAAAAGTTCAACTTTTTTTATCTGGGTCTACATGGAGTGGGTTCACTTTGTGATAATTCATCAAGCAATTGCAGTTACGATGTGTGCACTTTTCTGAATGTACGTATACTTCAGTTAAAAAGTTGATTTAAAAAAATAACATACAGGCTCCCTGCTAACATATGTGTCACCTTTATGCAGATTTTTAAAAAGTGTCCCCTCTGGATGGATGAAAAAGAAAAAGGTAACCCCATGGGCAGAGGTACCTCACAAGTCTGTGCCTTTACAAATGAAGGGTGGGCTGGGTTTCATCCCCACTACTCGGCTAGAAACAAAATCACACATCTGGATGGACATCTGCAAATCTGCGAAAACACTCATTTGACCTCCCTCGCCACAGCTTTATGAGGAGAGCAAGGATGACGTCCCTCTTTTACAGATGAGGAAGTGGCACGGAACAGTAAGACCGATGCATGAAGGCATCACAGCTCATAAGCCATGGGGCCAGGACTGACTTCTAGACCAGTAGCTTTTCACATGGTTCTGATTCTCTTCTGGGCAGGGAAACAGGAATAAGCTTCCTTCTGTGTTGCTGTATGTATTGTATACAGTATATACACGTCACGTCAAATGCTTTGTGGAATAAGGCAGGGGATGAACACATAGTCCAATGTTCTTAATGTTGAACTTTAATAAAGGTCCTAGGTTCTAAGCCCAATTGAAAAATATTCTCTAAGCATGTACTTCAAAATGAACATTCCTCTTTTACTTGTTTACCTATGGAAAAAGATCAGTAGAATAGTGATGTTCAGATATCAATAGAGTACCCTGGCCCTCCCACAGCTAAAGATTGTGGACTTACATATATAAATCTTTTCACTTTTTCTTGAAAAAAATGAAGAGAAAGACATAATGTGTATGTTCAACTTACCTAGCAGTGTCTGCTTATTTTGGGAGGAGTCAGGCTCTGTAGAACATCTGCACGATCGGAGAACAATCACTCCACCAAGCACGCCATCTTCACTGGCGAGGAAAGGTGAACCTAGGCAGAAAAGACTAGAATTCAGTGAATTCTACTTTTTTAATTTTTAATTTTCATTTGATTTCTAGAACAAAAATGTGGTATGAATAAGATCTTTAAAGATGCCCGTTTTCTGACAGTCACCATTGTTCGTACCTCATATAGACTTCATGGCAAAGGCAGGCTTAGGCCTGAACAGAGGCCATTTGGCAAAGACAGTGACAGATGCTGCCAAGAAGACATGAGTGGGGCATGGAGTGTGCACTGCTGTATTCACAATGGAATTGGAAACACTACCAGATTAAAGGACCAAAACACAAATACAGGAAAAAATGCTCCACGACTCTCTTTGATCAGCTCTTAGGGATCACTTACCAGGCTCTCCCTGCTGTCAGGGGCACGCCACCAAAAGCTTTGATTTACTACCTTAAATTCAATTTTAAACAATAAGCCACAAACTTTATTACAAACATTTAAAAATGCTCCTGATGGTTTACACAAATAAGGGTGAAACTGTATTTCTATTATGAGAGTCTGATTCTTAGAAAGAATTGGGCCTCTTGAGATCTCACACACTGAGCCATTGTGAGCATTTCAAGAACACTACAATTTAAAACCCCTCATTTTTCTTCCCCAAGGATATCTTCTTCGAACATCTGGCATAGCAAGTAAGCACGTGGAGAACAAATGCAAAATTAACCCAAGAACTATCAAAGAAAGCAGTAAAAATAAAAACCAACTAAATTGGATTGGGGGGGAGGGAGCTTATGGTTAAATTTAGTAGATTAAATACATGCACTTATCTCCACTCTCTCCCCAAATCCCAGTAAACTGATGGGAAAGGAATAAAAAAGCCGTGACCCAGTAAGGGCTGAAAAGAAGGCAGACTAGTAAAAAACTGATCTTTCGGAAAATGGTAAGAAGATGTACAAGTAGTTGCTCACCTAGCAGACTCATGAAAGCTGAAACCTAAGTTTGCATGGGGTGGGAAGACCTTAGAGTTGGAGGCACCTACAAGAAACCAACCCAGTTTTGCCATAACATCACAAAAAGATCAGAAATTGGAGGCTTTGAGTTCCTTTGAAGAATAGGTACAGGGGAGGAATGAAATAATGACAGTTGGTTGAGAGTGTCAAAAAGAATCTTCTAGACCAGGGCTGTCAAACTATGACCTGTTAAGAATTTAGGGGCTTTTCATATTTTATTTGGGTTTTTTAAATTTTTTAATTTTTTAATTTACATTTTAAAGGGTCATGAAAAAAAGGAAGAGGAGGAGAAAGTGGAGAACCAGCGACCACAATATAGCCTGCAAAGCCCCTTTATTCTCTGGCCATTTTAAAGAAAAACTTTACCAACCCTTGATCTAGAGGCCCAGATTCCTGCCATTCCTGCCTAGAGAGAAAGTTACCCCTCCCTAATCTTGAAGAAGCCAAGATATTTATTCTCTAGAGAAGCTGAACCAGAGAGAATTGAGACTTGGGGGCATCAGTCTCAGCCCAGGAAAGAGTCTACACACTGAAAACAAGGAGCTGAGGTGAAAGTCTTCATGCAGTGAAATAATGACTTCCCAGAACACAAGAAATCAGGCTGATATCCTCCAAGCAAGAGACTAGATAATTCCTTTCCAGCAATCCAGCGAACTCAAGAGCAAGACCTACTTAAGAGACCCTAAAAAATAACCTGTCCTTGCTTTATGGTAAGGTCTTCCAGATGACAAGTGTGGCTTATACACAAATGGTTTTGAGTTGAGCTTCTGGGTATTTAACTGCTAAAGAGTACAGACAACCTAAGATCACTAGTTGTTTCAGTCAGTCCTCTGTTTTAGGAAGGACAGAAACCAAAATAAACAAAAAAGTAACACAGGGAAAACTTAGGCAAAGGTATAGAACAGAAGAAAAGTTAAAAAAAAAAAAAAAGAGAGAGAGAATAAGTGAAACAAATTTAAAAATCATAAGACTAGGCCAGAAGGTCCAATATCTGAATAATAGAAGTTTCAGAAAGACAGACTAGAAGAAATGAAAGAGACAAAATTTCAAAGAAATATCATGATAAATGAACAAAAAATAATTTTAAAAATTCAATGAAATAATTTTAAAATACCTCCAAGAATTGAAGGATGAGTGCTCAAAGAGAAAAGGTACATGAATCAACCAGCACAAAACATGAAAAAATATTGTTGACAGAGGGAGCAAGTGAGAGTGTCCTACGGAGAACTGAACACTGGAAGGGAAGCGAAGTGGGCCTCGGTTTCCAGCCCTAGTATTGGCACTCTCCATGATAACTTTAACAAGTAAGAAGAGCTTTTTTTTGCATTCACACTCTACTCCCCCTGTCCCGCTCTAGCTGCTGGAAGATGTAGAGAACACCTATCTCCCCCTGGTTCCAGCTGCCACACCTCCATCTCCAGGAATATCACTAGGCAGGAAAGGGCAAAATAAAGCCAGACAGTGGCAGAAGGCAAACTATCCTCAATGGGGGTGGGTGGGTGGACGGTATAGATGCAGACTAGCTTATTAATATAAACTAGAAGCCATGACTTTGAGAAGTATAACATTTGTTCAACAAATGTTTCATATTTTATAAATATTCACTTTAAAATATTTAAGAATCAACTCTGTGCCAAGCACTATATTTGGCCCTGAGTATGCAAATGAATTAAGGCAAAATCTGTGTCCCCAAGTCATCTATGATATGACAATCAATAAACAAATACTGTTCAACAGCCTTTTGGAGCAGGTGGCAATTCGAGTTTGACTAAAAGATGAGGAAGAAGGAACAAGATGAAGATTAGAAAGAACATTCCAGACCAAGAAAACAGCACGTATCAAGGCCCTGAGCAGGAAAAATAAAAAGACGACCAAGAAGGCCAGCATCATGAGCAAGGGAGGAGGAGACTGACCTGGGATGAAGCTGAGGGGACAGGCAGTAATCACGTCACAGAGACCATAAAGTAGTATCTGCATTTTATCCTCTTTTCAATGGAGGGCCATCAAAGGGTTAAGGACATTTGATTCATATTTTAAGAAGAAAAATCTTCAGATCAAAAATTCAAACATACTGTTCTGTGGAGAATGACGAGGTGGGGGTAGTTTTCAAGAGAAGACTGTCTAGAAGACTTCTGTGGTCGTCTCAGTGACTGCTGAGTACGGAGAGACATCTCCCTGTGCCCTGCATGGCCTCCCTCCCCTGGCCTGGTAAAGCATCCCAGCATGGCTGAACGAACTGTACCCTCCCCATGGTGCACTCAGCTGTGGCAGACGTTTCTCAGAGTACAGGTGGGACAAGAAGAAATTCGACTCAGGACTGACGCCAAGTGCTCTACAGAAGAGAGTATTTGGGTCACTGCTCCCCATCAGGAGGCCCGTGGGATACACTGAAATATGTGCAAGGGGTTACTGACCTCCACCTGGCATTGAAACCAGCTTATTTGTATGTCCTCTTTTCATTACATAATATCAAGTGTGGTGCCCTGAGACAGTTGTCAGAGAATTCTGGGCACACCAAGGACAATCATTTCCTGGGAAATTCCTTCTCTGGTTTGAGGCTCTGAATTCCTTCCCCTTGTCAGTCCATCAGGACCTTGTTTATCTCTGAATTCCCCCCCAACGCCCTGTCCTAATTCAGCAGAGCAGGATCTAGTTTTTAGCTTGTCATTTTTTACTAAATAAAGCCTTGAACTTCTTTTTCACCTTTGTTGTGGAATTTTAGTTGCCCTGTTCGATTTAATTGCATATTGTTACATTCTACACATGCCTAGAAGCCTTGGGCTATGAAGAACATTTTACTACATCTAATAAATAAAATGAAAAGAAGGAACTGCAGGATTAAACCATAAATGTCTTCTTAAAAAAAAAACTGACAAGGAAAAGTGAGAGCTATGAATTTTTAAATTTTTAAAAACATTTTTGAAGAGTGAAATCTTATCATTGACAGAACAGCTAGAAAGATAGCAAAGGTAACTGAAAATTAACTCCTTTCCCTCATTTTTATTGGTAAAAGTATCTCTACTACAATTAATATGACATCGGTGGCATTAAAAGATCAAATTGACTTGTTAGTCCCTTTTGTTTTAATATATATAATAGAAGGATAAGCAGATGACAGCCATACTCAGGCAACTCTAAGGAAAAATAATAAAATAAAGAGACTTGTAATAAAAGAGGACCAGAAACAAAAGCAGGTACCTACTAGGGAAAAAAATATGGTCAAAATAACCCACAAGCAAGACATATTTTTGTCCATAATGTATAAGAGGGTTAAAAATTAAAAATGAGATCCCGTGAATTATATACATTATGAAAAACCCAGTCATTCAGGTAAATAAAATTTAAAAAGCAGAATGGTGTATATATAATAGGATGGCTTTAGGAAATGATAAACCATCAAGTTGCACTTTATTTCAAAAACAACTTTTATAGAATTTTTGTAAGAAAAAAATAAAGCTACAAAATCTTATTGTAGAACTACTTAAAGGGTTTAAATTAACCTAAATCTACACAAAGAAAAATATTTCACAATTTTTTTGTTATATACACATATAAATATATAAAGCTTCTATGACATCATATATAGTCACTAACTGGGATAATGCTGAAATGTCACTCTTAAGAATTCTGGGAACTCCACCTGCAGATTAGCAAGTTTATCTGGATATACAGATACACAGGTATTCACAATTTTATAAAGAGAGTTGTTATGTTAATAAGCTACGATAAAGATTGAAATATCACTCTAAGAATTTGGTAATTTCATATAAGCAGGGTCTGTTTTGGACCTATATCCCAGAAAAGGCTAATTACTAAAGGACAAAAAAGACCATACACCCACAGAATTGTCTGACACCATAGAAATCAACAGAAGCATCATTGTGAGACACATTTTAAAAACTCTAAATTTAAAGAGGGATGTTTTCATATGTAAATTTCCAATTATTGCACTGCCACCAAGAGAGACAACTAAATACAGTCCAGTCAGTGGTGGTGCACAAAACCTTAATCTAGTGTGTAAACAAACAGTTTAAC